TTGATAAATTTAATTAGATAATTAATAATTTGAAGGTAAATATTTATTCTTTCAATATAAATTCGTAATAAAAATATATTTATTATACCTTTAATATGTATTTTAAGAGTAAAAATTTTAAAAATCCTTTTATAATACTCCCTCTGTTCATTTTTATTAGATCTGATTTTTTTTATCTAATAAAATAGAGATGTAACAATTTATTTATAAAATTTTATATTTATTCCTAATTAAATATCACTTAAATAAAACTTTTTATTTAATATATGTTATAATTATTTTTTTTAAATGAGGGTTAATAAGAATAAACACATTAAATGATATCTTAAAAATAAAAAATAAATAATTAAACTTACTCACACTAAATAAAAAATTAAATCTACCAAATTTGAATTAAAAGATAAATTAATGAGAAAAATAAAAAACATGTTAAAAGAATTTTTATTAATTAAGTGATTTAATTAAATTTAAAAAGTAATTTATAAAGACTATTGAAATAAAATGTATTATTAATTAAAATAAAAAATATATTATCATTTTATTAAAAAATACTTGAGGATATATATTATATAATATTAATTAATTAATTAAAAAATATATATTATTATTAAAAATAAATGAAGTAAAAGCAAAGGCGTGCAGGTGCAGTGCGACGGAAGCCGATGACAAACGGCGTCAGGAAGTCAGTTAGCGGAGGGGCTGATTTGCACCCATCGTGGGGTTGGAGGGCTTATTTGTCACTTTTTTAGTTCAGGGGCTTATCACTTGCTGTTGAAAAAGTTGAGGGGCTTAAGATGGATTTTTGCCTTAAATTATTAACCACTTTATGTCTTCCACCCGAATCTTTCCTTTCCTTGCATTCTGCGTCCCAATGAGAAAATTCTATCTTTCCTGTGTTAAGCTGCAAGGAAACAATCACTATTTAATACTGCAGTGCCAGCATCAGTTTCTCACGGAAAGACACAGAGAAAAAAAAAAAGAAAAAAAAAAGGATGTCTTTCAAAATAGAGTACCTTGATCTTGTGCTTGTCCCTAGTGGGTTGCTGATCATGTTTGCTTACCATCTCTTCCTCCTTCACAGATACCTCAATCGCCCTCATAAAACAGCCATGGGGTTTGAAAACTTCTATAGAGAAATCTGGGTAGAAAAAATCATGAAGGCAAGATTCTACCTTTCTTCCTTGCTCTCCGTTTTTTCTTCATTTTCCAATCAATTGATTAAATGGGTTTTTGACTTTTGCAGACCAGAACCAGGGAGGACGTGAATACAGCTCTCACGGTAATTTCATCAAACATAACGGCAGCAACAACCTTGGCCTCAGTCGCGTTGACTCTCTGCCCCCTGATCGATGCCTGGCTTGGGGGCAACGTAAACACCGTCTTCACAAGTGATTTAATATACGGTGACACAAGGCCCGCCACCGTCTTCTTGAAGAACATCTGCCTTCTGATCTGCTTCCTTCTCGCCTTCTCATGCTTTGTTCAATCCGCAAGGCACTTTGTCCATGCAAATTACCTCATAAGCACGCCGGATAATGGCAATGCGGTGGAAGAAGTGACGAAGGCAGTGATCAGAGGCGGTGATTTTTGGTCACTCGGGCTCAGAGCACTCTACTTCGCCCTAAATCTGCTCCTCTGGTTTTTTGGTCCCATACCCATGTTTGTTTGCTCCGCCGTAATGGTTTTCCTCTTCCATTTCCTTGATTCGAATACAAAACCAGTGCCCCAACGCCATAACATTGAGGAGAACAGCCATCTCCGTACTTCTCTAATCGTCTGAACCCAACATCTCCTTCTCCTTGAATTAAATTTCTTCTTCTAAAAACAAATAATGTTATGTTTGAGCTGAATTCATTCACAATAGCCATTGGATTGAAACGATCAACTTTTCTTAATTATGACTTTTTTCTTTTTCTCATTTTGCATGTCACACAGTACAGCACTGCAAAATATAATATATAATTGGTTGGGAGGAAGCAATATGATGGGGTATGCCCCTCATCCTTTCATCTTTTTTAGTCCTAAAACTACAAAGTAGAATAATTGGATGACATCGGCTCGTGACTTAGTGGCTATTAATTTCTTGTAAAGATTTCATCATATTAGTTTGAAATGTGGGATTTGAATCTCATATTTAATGTTTAAAAAAATAGTTGAATGAAAGGAAAATGATTTAGAATAAATTTTTTATATTATTTTTTATATAATTTTATGTATTATTTTAATAATTAATTTTTTTATTCATTTAGGATCATAATATTAAATATATTTATTTATTTCATAATATATAAATATTATATTAAAAAATTATTCTTATATCACTATCTTATATAAAAAAAATGTCTCAATGCAAAGACACAATCGCTTTTGTTTAATATTTATTATTTTATAATTTAATATAATCTCAAACTGTAATTGCATTTTCTTTTTCTTAAAAGAAAAGAAAAACAAAAGTTTGAATTTTTTTAATGGGTAACGGGCTGGGTGCCCGGCATAGTCATAGACTTACAAACAAGAGCTACCAAGCCCAAGCCCAATAAAACCTGGTTTCGAAATCCAAACCAAGTAATTGGGGACCAACCCATCAGATTTTGGGTTTGGCCTACACCAACGGCCCTTGGATCATGGACCTCATCCACTGTTCAACTCAGTATAAAAAGTATTTATCTTCGTGGTCTGCTTTAACACATTTTAGTGATTTTAGCAGCATGAACCAGAGATTAATTAATCTCAAATTACACTTAATTGAGCTCAAAACACATTTATTTCTAGTTAAATTCTTTTATCAAATTAACAAATAGGAGAACCGAGCTTTGGATGCAGATGGATTGCCTCCTTAACCTTACAATGCTTAGGTTTATTAATCAAAATTTCAAATCCTACCAATATCTTAAATAAAAATTCTTCCTAAATTATAAGCGGTTCAAAAAAAAATATATTAACAGATAGAAGGAATAGTTTCTTGTTGTATAAATAAATGTAAAGAAAGAAAAGTAAAAAGTTTTCTCGTATGTGATTTGATGCATGTACGTAAAGAATACAGTGTACTAACGAAGAGCAATTAAGCAAAACGTACTGACTCGACTACCTATGCAGGCCAAATCGCGTATCGCACTCGCCCAAAAACGCCTTTTGATTCCCTGATGCACGTTTTCCATACCTGGTGTGCAACTACAGGTCCAAGTCAGTAGACTCAGTGTCAATCCTACCCAGTAGTACCTCAAAATTAAAATTTTTATATTCAAAATTTTTTAAAATTAATATTTTTTTTAAAAAAAAAGAATTTTATAAAATCTAAATTCAAAAATAATTTTTTGTATTAACTATATTTTTAAATGTTTTTGATGTATTAAAA